AGGTCTCTCCTGGGTTATTAAAGCTGCCCAGGAGGGACCTGGATTAATGCCACTCAGGAGGGTCCATGCAGTGGTATTGGCTTCCTTGGCAACACCAGGTGGCAACTGTGGCCAAGAGGGCCTTTGTGCAGAGTCATCTGATTCACCCGTTGTTCCTGGATCAGGAGGACCTCCAGATGGTCACTCGTGCTCCAGTCACTTCACAAACGGACTGTGCCAATGCACTGTGCAGGGACCGGCCTTGAAGACCACTTACAAGCTGCAGCTGGTCCAGAATGTGGCAGCCCGGGCAGTAATGAGCATATTGTATGCCTCTGTGACACCCCTGCTCCATCAGCTGCACTGGTTTCCAGTTGGCTTTTGGGTGCAGCTCTGGGTGCTGGTTATCACCTATAAAATCCTTCATGGGGTGTGGCCTGGTTATTTGAGGGACTGCCTATCTCTGATACCATTCTGTCTAGACCTATGGTTTGTGTTCTTTTATTAATATTTCTTGCCTTTAAAGTTGTAAGCTGGCCAGAATCTTATACACTCTGTGTGTATACAAATAAATAAAAAAACATCTTTCCCTCAGAGAGTGATCTAAAGATAAATTGCATCAAAAGATTGCAAACGTAGTAGCATAACCCAGTGTTCTCACCATGAGATGTCCCATTCCACAACCAGGGCTTGCAGAGTAGCTGCTGAAGAGCTCTACTCCTGAACCCAACCTAAATGAGATGGAACCCAAGTGCCCACACTGGGGCGTGGAAGAATCTCTCATGCGTTGGTGGTTCCTAGGCTGAAGATGGCTGTTCTCTGTTCAGCAGCTGCTCAGCTTCATGGCCGTTTCCGTTACTTTGGTCCAGGGAGTCAAAGAAGGCTCACTTACCTGTAGGCCCCAGGCCACTGCAATCTTTTGTGCCTCTCAGCAGGACAGGGGCATCAGAGCTCGAGGCTCCTCCTGGCCTGCAGCCCAGCTGTGTGGGGGAGTCTTGCCACACTGCCTGAACGGTCAGGCCAAGCCAAGCCATGCTATGTCAGGAGATTGGTGGTTTATGTCAGAGTTTTACCTGGGTAACATGGCACCTTTTCATACCCTTCCTAATCTCCTTATTTAATTTAATTTAATTTAATTTAATTTAATTTAATTTAAGTTTGTTTCTTTGTTCATCAAATTTGTCACCACCCATCTCATTAAATATGATCCTGGGTGGTTTACAAATAAATTAAAAATACAATATAAAATGATCCTGAATAAATAGAAAATACATATAATCCAAGAATAGATGTTAAATTGGCAGTACCTCGGGGAGCATCATCCAGGCGCCAGCCACCCACAGGATTGGGTAAGATTCTTGTCGCCCCACGCAAACTGGCACAGCCAGGTCTTTAATCCTTTCCGGAAAGCCGGGAGGGTGGGGGCCTGCCACGCCTCGGGGGGAGAGTGTTCCATAGGGCGGGGGCAACGGCAGAGAAGGCTCTCCTCCTGGGCCCCCCCAGCTGACATTCTTTCGCTGACGGGGTCCGCAACATGCCCCCTCTGCCTGGGCGGGTGGGACGGGTCAACGTGATGGGGGTGAGACGGTCCCTCAGGTAACTTGGTATTTGGTGGACATTCATGATTTACTAACGTGACAGAATTCCAACTTCTCTCCCAAATTGTAAAATATTATTGTGTTGGGTATTTTTATCAAGGTCTGTTTTCTTGAAATAGATTGATATAGGTAAACAATTGTCCCAGTATCTTGAATATCTTGCAGTCTCTTATTTAATAGTTTTTCTGTCACTTGAGGGAGATCTCTGTCTAAGGATCTCATAAGGAATTGATGATTCAAATGCCTTTCGTTTTACAGACTTTCCTGGAGCCACAAATGCAGCGTCAGGGTTACCGTAAAGAATTTAGGGTGCTTTCCAATTAGCTGGTCGGCTTTTTTGCAAATCCCTTCCTATGTGACCAGAAAAGTCTTGGGGATTTTTGAATCGCTCACAGTCCTCCAGATCAAGCTGTGTACGGTGATGTTTATTTCCTTCTCCAAGGGGAGGGGTGCGCTTTTCCTTTCTAAGCTTGCTTTGTTTTTGGAGCTGTGCAAAAGCTTCTGTTGTAAGCAAGTGCCAAAGCTGAAAAGCCTCATCATGTTAACTAAAAGGAGTGTGCAAGAAATAGTTTGTGGTCTGTGCGTTGTGCTTGCTGTGGGAGTTGTGGGGAAACTAGGTTAGCAGAGATTCACCCGCTGCTTCCCCTTCAGAGAATTAGCTTCCTTTGTGTCTTTAATCTGATCCGATTAGTTTATCTTATTCAGAGCAGGCCTCCACCGTGGCCGCCTCTGAAAGCTTTCCTGGTGATTGTGACTCCCCTTCTTGTGACTTTTTTTGTCTTTTGGGAACAGCGCACGACTTATTCCAGCTTATTTTGCCGTCATGCTTATCCTTGTAAAATTCCAAAAGCATCTTGTTGCAACTGGAGTTTGCAGTTTTGGGAACGGAAGGGCCAGTGTCCAGGGATGGACCTTGCTGATTGGTTCCCATTGGAAAATGGCCATGGCAGTGGGGGGAACCTGAGTGGGGTGGGGTGGGGAGAAAGGACTTCAGAGGCCAGCCTGGATTGTCTTGTTGCAAACACCTCCCTGGGGTACTTTTGGCCAAGCATTCTTCTTCCCTCACCCTAGTTCTGGGAGCATCTGGGCTTGGGGCCGAGGGGGGTGATCACAGAAGGCTTTCCCAAACTAGGGAGCATGTGGGAATTGCATGTTTGAGAAACTTAAGTACACCAGCCTCAGCCTGTCTTTGAGTTCATAGGAAAGAAAGGAGCAGGTCTGTGTGTTTCTGTGGGTGCAGCTGAAGGAGGTGGGGTGGAAGCAGTGGGGCCTGACCCTTGCACAGCGGGCTGATGTACCTGGGGAGGGCAAGTAGGTTCAGACTCTTGTTCCCAGTGATACGAAGGGCTGTCTCCCGCCCTCCACCCACCCTCCTTACGTGCCACAGACGGCCCTTCTCTCGAGGAACATTTGCCTTTGCGGTGCAAACGGGGAAGACCACTCTGGCAGGAGAGGATGAACATCCTGCGGAGAGTTTCAGGCGTGTTTCTTTTTCCTGCACCAAGTAAATGGTTTCTGGGTGACCTTGCAGCACCTCTGTGAAGAGGCTCAGTAGGGCCACGGAGAGCAGAGCTCCCCGGGGCTCCGAGGGGATTCCTGTAAGGATGAGCCACGCCTTGGGAGCTTTCCTGCTGCTTGGAGGTGGGGTGGAGGGAAAGCTGCCCAGATATGGGGGGGGGGGGGGGGG